GTTTCGGGGGCCCTACTCAGCTTGTGTATTTTGCGTATAGGGAGGATCGGCTCTGATTATATAGCACTTTATACAAAAGATTGCTTTAAAAGCAGCTTTACAGTATTAAGGATGAAAAAAATAATGTCTGTGTTGCTTTCAATTAGAATTACAACTTCAGTTTCTATAAAGCAGCTCTCCAGCAAACTTTTCCTAGAAACTTTTCCGCTTTGGCAAGATGTTTCAAATTGCTTTTTCTTTTTGCTTGAGGTATAACGGGGTCTTTACATAATTAAAATGCAAAGATAATGTTATTATTATATCATCTGATATATTATGGAAGTACATAGTGTAGAAGCAGCTACACTGACAATTGTAGGTTGTCTGTTTTTTATGACTTCACAGCAGATTTAGGCCTACATTTTTACTGTTAAGACTAACATTAGCGATTTAGACAAACAGAAATAGCTGCTTTGTTTGTTGTTGTCCAGACTGAGAATGTCCATGGAAAATAGCTGCATTTACATTCACAAGCTCAGTTTACCGTATTTGTGTATTTTGCACTGTGTCTCTTGTGGTAAGAGTCTGAGGGAAGCCTGACTAGACTTAATTATTCGAGTTTTCACAGGGTGTGGAAACAGACAGAGCCACCTGGAGGACTGCCACTAGCATTTAGCTTCTATCACTGTCATTCTCTATGTGAAGGGCAAATGAAATCATATTAAAATGATACCAAATTACAATATAGATGTAGACATTTTAATGCTGGCACAGACAGCATTCTAATTTCTTGGCCTCGTTGCTTCCTGTCTTTGAATTATTGAATTATCTGTATTTCAGTCAGCAGTAAATGTTTTCCTTTTATGTATTTTAGACCTCTGCTTGCCAAATCCAGCATATGTGTCAGTACTTTCTCTCTGCTTTCAATTCTGCGACTTGGCAGCTACGTACAGCTGGCAGTACACTGTGTGTAACATACGAGTTGGTGACGGTGTGCTGAGAGAGAGAGAGAGAGACACGGTGTGCTTGGCTGCTTGGCAAGGCTGTTTGAGTGAGAAGAGTGAGCTGGTTGTGAGTTTCAGAGTTTCCTGTCCAGCTGTATCATTGGCACAGGCTGAAAGAGAGGAACTCAGACCCTTGCACAATACAGCACTTGTGTTGCAGTCCGGGAACTCAGGAATGCGGCTCTCACCTTCATATGGCTAACAGGAGTTTGTTTTGGAATGAGAGATATTATCCAACACACTCTTAACCTCACTTGCTCACTCCTTCTCTTTTCCTCACTTACGTCTCTCTCACTCTTTCATGGCCATTCTCAAAGTAAAGAAAATACAGTGACTTCAGCCTGAAATCTGAGATCTGCCTGCTCCACCTGCAGTAGTTTCTTTCAATTCGTGACTTTTTAGTCCCTTCATCCCGTTAGCAATTTTGACTGAAGCTCTTCCGAGCATTCCCATGCTATTAAACGCCAGGAATTTCTAGAGACCTTCCTAAATCACTTTAGCCATTCATTAAAGCCAGTTTTCGTGAAACACAGGGGTGTGAAAATCGCAGGGATCAAAACCGTTCTCGCTGGAAGACGGATTAAGCAACAGAGACTCTCACTTTCATATGATAGAAAAACGAGGAAAAATGTATGCCGGAACTATTTTAGGATTTGATACTGGTGGTTGAGTTTGACCTTTAAAAAATATAAATGTGCTATTGTTATGAGTCAAATGTTGCTCTGGCAATTATACTTTTGTACATTCTATACATGTATCGTATTGGTAACACTTCAGTAGGGACCAATTCTCACTATTAACTAATTATGACTATTATTAACATATTGGCTGTTTTAATCATGAATATTTTGTGTAATTCTGCATGACCATATTCTACATTCCTAATCCTACCAAATACCTAAACTTAACAGCGAGAATTGGACCTTAAAATAAAGTGTTTAACCATTGTATTTAGATATTTAGTGTTATTAGCTAAAATAGGCATGTTATTGCTTATAGTTAAAGTCGAAATATAACGGAAGTAACAAAGTATCTTCCATATTGTGGTGTACATTCAATTGAAACATATTTTTTTAAATAAAGGCTCCAAAAGTGATTCTAAAGTTTTTCACACAGATGCCTTAGTAAAACCTTTTTTTTTTTTTTTTT